TCATCATCATCAGTATTTCTTTCTCCTACGTGATAATCCAGAAGTGTTCACTGACTCCCTCTATGTGTTCTGGGAAGCTGGCCAGGATGTGGAAACCTTGAGATCTTCTGAAGACCAACTCAGCACTGAGCCCAGCACAGCCCACCCATTACTCTGCCCCCCTCTTGCCCACCTGGTACTGAGCCTGGGGTCTTTACCCTTTATTCTTTAAGCCTCCCAAGAGGATTAGCACCCAAGAAGTGAGTACTAACATTATGCCATTTTACAGATGAAGAAACTGGCTCAGAGAGGCTGGGTTACTTGTCTGAGGGTGCACAGCTTGCAAGGAGAGGAGCTCAGTATTTTCCCTCTCCCACCTATTACGACCGTTCTATGTACACTTGTGTCTTTCGAGGACAACACTGTCTAGTAAAACATAATGTGAGCTCTGGATGGAATTTTACATTTTCTAGCAGCCACACTAAAACGTAAAGGTGAAATTTATTTTAATGATATATTTTGTTTAGCCCAATATATTGAAAGTATTATCATTTCAACATGGAGTCAACAGAAAAAAATTATAATGAGAATTTTATGGTCTTGTATTCACACTAAGTCTTTGAAATCCAGTGTGTATTTTAGCCTTTCAGCTCAGCTGGGACCAGCCACATCTCAGCTGCCCAGCGGCCTCATGTAACAAGTGGCTACTGGTTGGGCAGTGCAGGTCTGGACTATAATAAGCCTGCCTTGTAGGTGTGTGGTTTTCAAGGGAGCTGATGTACGCAGATGCAGGGGATACAGTGCCCAGGACACAGTGAGCGCTGGATCAGTGTTAGCCCTCATCGTCATCCATGTTACTGGGACAGAGTGTGCTCCACAGGAGTTGCTGAATGAATGAACAATGTGCTGAAGCCTCGCCCGCAGACGTCTGCAGTGTTATACGGTTCTCTTGTGGGCCTTCCTACCCTGCTTTACTTCCTGGGTTGTGGTTGGCATCCCTCCCAGCTCCTCCCATGATCCCACCCTGGACCACTGCTGGCTCACCTCCCTGCTCCCATATGTAACCTACAGTGTGTGTAGCAGCCCCTTCCCACCGCTCAGAGAGATGGCAAAGTTTCCTGGGAGGAATTCCAGGGTTTCTATTTGTACAAAGACAGCCTCCTGGCGTTTGGCTGCTTTGCAGGCGTGGGGCAGGGACCTTTCCTGAAACCTGGGGAGGTGATGCCGCTGACACCCTGGAGGTACTGCCCAGCCCAAGGTCAGGATCGGGTCTCCCAAGGAGCACCGTTCCCGTGCCCGTTCCAGAGGGTGAGCCCTCACCAAGGGCCGTGCCCAGGTGGAAATTGCCAGTCCGAGCCGCGCTCTCGCCAGCATCCTGGACAAGCAGTGGGCGGGAGGGGCCCAGAGCTGGGGGCAGAGTGTCCAATCTGACGGAAGAGGCTCTGAGCAGGGAGCTGGTGGGTGTGGGGTTTGAAATGCTAGCTCAGATCCCAGCTATACACAGGAAGTGTAAAGAAGCCATATCGTTTATGCTCCTGCAATCTTTTAAAAGGGATGTGCCACTTACCCGGGGCCACGTGATTCTGTAGTTGGTCTGAGGGGCTGAAAGTGGGTTTGCATTTCACACTCAGCCCACGTATCCTCAAGCACACACACACACACACCATGGGGCTTTATACTTTCAGACAAGCCACAGTCACTTACACGTGCATGCTTTTACCCCTGTGCACACCAACACACATTTCTATGCGAGAAGGTATATGGGTCTCAGCTGTGTATAGACAACCAGAGACCTAATGTGTGCCCCGGAATTTATCAGCACAGCGTTCATGTACCTGGTCATATGCTTCTGAGAGGCTTCCCTCAAGCAGCCCTGTGTTCACCCCTTGGCAACGGGGAACTTGATGGGGCTCAGGTTGTCAGCCCCGATTAACAAGAGAGGACGGGAAGGTCCGAGTGGTTAAGGGACTTGCTGGAGCTGGCTCAGCCAGTGGCAGAACTTGCACCTGGCCTCTCTTTCCTGGATGACATCACCTCTGCCACCTCTCATGCCAACGTATGAGTGGCTGTCACTTGCCTCGCCGGCCTGTAAGCTCAGTAGGGTCACAGACTTTTTGCTTCTCATATTTGCACAAGTACATGGACCAGGGAGGCAAGAGGCTGTATTGTTGAGAGCTGACCTAGGTTCAAAGGTCAGCTCCACAGATTACTAGCTGTGTGACCTTGGGCAAATTACTTAACCTCTCTGAGCTTTAGTTTTTATCTACAAAGGAAGATGATTACATCTGCTTAATAGTATTGCTATGAGAATTTAGGAGATACTTAATAAATAATCATAAATGTCATGTGGATGAACTGAGGAAGGTCTTACGTATATAAATATATAGGCTTTGGCACAGTGCTTGGCAACCCCCGCCCCCCGCAAATGTAGACCCTCTCTCTTAGCACAAGGGAGGTACTCACTACATGTAGAAGGAAGAAAAGAACAAAGAGATGGAAAAACAAGGTCTGTCTGTAGCTCACCTTTATCATATGTTACATTCCTGAGTACACTTGGCTACGTTTCTGAGCTCACTGCCCTGTCCCGCTCTTGGATTTATCTCTTCCTGGGTTGGCCTCTTCCTCCTTCAATTACGGAACTTTTCGATAATGTTTTACTATCCAACAGGGCAAGTCCCCCCTCACAATTCGACTTCCTAGAAGTTTTCTTGGCAATTCTCATGAACCTTTTCTTCCATATGGACACATCTATCATCATTTTTTTCCATTAAAAGCTCAGTGGGACCTTGAATGGACTCACATTCCCTTTATGTATGAGTTTGGGGAAGATGACCACAGATGGAACTTGGCTCTGAAGGAAAGTGCAGGTTGACCTTTGTCTCCCAGCCCTCACTGGGGGGTTGAGGCTCTATCCGGGGAGCTCCTGAATCAGATAACAGTGTTGCAGGGGGGAAGTGTGGGTCCCCACAGAAGGTCCCCGGGCAGGGGCACAGAAGAGAGGTACCTTGTCTCCTCCCAGAAACCTTCCCTCCATCCTGCTGCCTGGGTCTGTCTGGACTCCCAGCTCCTGTGCTGTGCGTCCCCTCGGCTGAGCCTGTGGACCTGTACCCCCTCTTCCCTAGTGCAGGTTGCTCTGAGGAGGCACCTGGGGTTCCCGTGTACTTGGACCCCCACATACATCTCTCCTTCTCACTCAGACCTCACTACCCTGCCCCTCTCACCTCTTCTCCATCCACCCCCTGTCCTCCCAGACATTGCAACCCTGAAATAAAGGCTGATATGGCATCTTCTGGGTGCTCCAGTTTTCAGGAAAGCTATGGAAGAGAGAGTGAGATTTGGCAGGAAACGATCTGAGTTTGAGCCCTCCCACTTATTAATTGTGAGACCCTGGGCAAGTCCCTTATTTGCCCTGTCTCCATTTCTTTCATTTGTAAAGTGGAATTAATATCCCTTTTAAAAAAAAACTTTTTATTTTATATTGAAGCATACTTGATTAACAATGTTGTGTTAGTTTCAGGTGTACAACAAAGTGATTCGGTTATACGTATAACGTATCTATTCTTTTTCAAATCCTTTTCCCAGTTAGCTTGTTACAGAATATTGAGCAGAGTTCCCTGTGCTACACAGTAGGTCCTTGTTGGTTGTCCATTTTAAATATAGCAGTGTGTACATGTCAACCCCAAACTCCAAACTCCCTAAAAGTTCCCTGACCAGGGATGGAACCCGTGCCCCCTGAATTGGGAGGACAGAGTCTTAACCAATGGACTGCCAGGGAAGTCCCTTCTTTTTTTTTTTTTTTTTTTGGTAGGATGGTTCAGCACCAACTACAGTCAGAAGCCGCACAAGTTATGGAGGATATAACAGCAAGTCACCCAGATGCCCTCCCTGATCTCATTAATGCACAGTACCGTGCTTGGAGGAATATACATCACCCAGCGCCTATGAGCAACTGGCCTGTGGTCAGCCGTCAGCTCTCAGCCTCAGATCTGGTTGATCCAGAACCAGCGTCTTTGAGCCCATGGGCAAGTAGCTTACCCCCAAGCCTCAGCTTCCTCATCTAAGAATGGGGCACATCAATCCCCAAGAAAGCTGTCCATGGGTAATAAACTCCCTCTTGCCATCCTCCCTCGTTCCCTTGGCCTTACTGCTGGCAGCAGGCCCTGGCCCAGGCTGTGGGATCTTAGATTCAGAAGCTCTTCACAGCTGCCCACCTCCTGCCCGCCCCGTGCCTGCTCCAAGCCTCGAGCCAGCCGCCTGGCTCTGTGCTGCCACGTGTCTTACTCCCTGGCTTCTCGGAGGTGCAGACCTTCCTCCCTTCCCCTCCGTGTGCCTTGGGATGGAGGTGGGAGAGAGAGAACCCTTGGGGTAACCCTGAAACAGCGGGCTTCCTCTGCAGACCCGAACGTACATGCTTCATAAACTGTAGAGGGCTGTGCAAGTCCAAGGCGGCCGCATTTGGGGTTAGAGAATCAGCACAAGCACTGTTTGCGCAAAGTAAGCGCTTTTGTTGAGAGCTGATATCTTCCCTCCCAACTTTTCTTGGCCTTTTCTAACTCCCCCACCCCCATCCCCTGCCTTGTAGCATCTCCGACACTTGGAAACTCATTTTCCAAACTCAAAGACTAGAAGTCTAACAGTAGTTTTCCTTACTTTATGCTGCTCAGAGAGGGTGAGTGACTAGCCCAAGGTCGCACAGGCAGTCTGGGCAGACCTACGTCTGGAGTCCAGGCTCCCTGACTCTGTTCCTTTGAGTGTCCCTTTCCGCTGCATTTCAGGTGGGAATAAAAGGTGTGGAAGTCCTGTTCGTTTTGTTTCCCCAGGTGCTGGCTCTGCTCCTCCCCTTGCCGGGATCAGCTGTCTCCAGCAGCCCTACTCCTCACCCTGGGCCTCGCCCTTGCTCCTCAGTGGACACCTCCCTGCCCCCTAACATTCCAGCCCTTCTCATCCTGCCCACCCATGCAGCAGGACCGGTGGAGATGGGAGCTGGGACCCCTCTCCGTGCCCCTCCGGGCAGGACTCACCATGGCCGGGGTGCTGCCCACTGCTCCTACTGCTGTCACTGCCACCAGCGCCCACGGCAGGAACCACCTCATGCCTGGAGGTCAGTGGCCAAGGCATCTACGGAGCAGGCCAGATGATCCGGCCACCTCTCGGGGGAGCTGGGCCGAGACTGACCTGGCCCATCAGGAGTGCCAGATATGCCTCTTCCCGCAGCCCTGAGGGGGTTTTATTAAAGCAAGATCTGACGTCAGGGTTAAGGACAAACCCTGCATTTTCCTCTGAAAAAACTTTTCCTGCCTCTCTCTCTCTCTCTCTTTTTTTTTTTTTTTCTTTCTTCCCTCTGTCCCCACCTCCAGCCCAAGCTTGGCCAGCCTCCCCGGCTCTGACAGCTCTTAAAGGGAAAGTTACAGGGCTATGATTTCACATCAGGGCGGTAAATTCTCACAGAAGGAGCTGGGGTCATCCTGCCTAGGCGTTTCTCAAAGGTGGGGCGGGGGAGATGGTGGGAGGGTACCAGGCGGAGGTGGAGATACAGTTACAGGGGCCGGGGCTGGCAGGGGCTTTGAAAGCGCTCCCAGTGGAGAAAATAAACTCCCTTCCCTTCCCTCCCGGCTGTTCCTACTCCTGGTTTGCACTTGTCATCTTTCACTCCTCTCCCCCTGGCTGCGAGCAAAGGAGGGTGGCTTTAGTCCACTGATCATGAAATGGTATGAATTCACAAATGAGCTCAGGGCTGGGGCCCTGGCTACCATCATCACCTCCTCTACGAATTAAAGCTCTGGTTTCCCATCTACAGGCGTTCCCGGCCCTGCTTTTAGCCTGAAGCCCTTGGGTACTGGAGCTGTCTCCCCATGTCTGGGTGCCTGTTACCCCTGGTAGGTTGGGGTGCCTGGCCTTCACCCCTTGCTGGACACTTGCCACACTGGTGAGGGGTCTCCTTTGGAGCCTGGTCTGCCCTCGTCCAGCCCCCTCATCCCCACGTGGACCTCAGCCACAGCCTCCTGACTGGTCCCCCAGCCTCCTGTTCATTACCGTCCACACTTCTCAGGGCCACCAGAACAATCCTTGGCAAATGGAACCAAGGTGATGGCGGTCTCCTGGCTCCAGCCTCCCAAAGCCTGCCCATTGACTTAGCATGACATTCCCAGTCCTTGCGTGGCCTCCAGGCCAGCAGCCTCCCTCATCTCTTCTTCCATTCTCCCTCCCCTGCACTACACTCGGCCTCGGTGGACTCCTTGCTGTTCCTCTCACACCCCAGCAAATTCTCATCTCTGGACCTCAGTGGGAACTCTCTCCCCTGTGGTTTTCATAACAATTACACCATCTCTTCCCTTTTACTGTAACATATACAAGGGGATGCTGAACCATGTGTGGCTGCTTGGAGGTGGTAGCAGGCTTGTGCCTGTGGAGGGAGATTATGACCATAGACACAACCTTCATAAGAGGTGACTCTGATGATCTCTTCATTCATTGACTTAGGGGTGGGCCTCTCACCCAATTCTGGCCAATGAGACAGAAAGAGGACTCTGCTGGGGGCTCCTAGAAAGGACTCCATTCCTCAGGAGGAGAAAAATCTTCTCTATGCATTCTCTTTTTTCCTTGAGTTCAAAGTTGATGGCTGGAGCTGCAGCAGTCATTTTGTGCATATAAGGCACAAGCTGGAGGATGATAAGCCAACATGATGAGGATGGTAGAGCAGGAGGGAAAGAACCTGGGTCCTTGGAACTTAAGGTGTTACTGAATTAAACCTGGACCTTCAGACTTCCCACTGTATGAATTAATTTGATGACTTATTGCTTAAGCCATAGATTAAGAGTAATTTGCTCATATAATCCTAATTAATATATGGGATTTGTAGAAATCATGTATGTAAAGTGGCAGTGGGGTATCTGTCACAAAGAAACTGCCCAATAAACATCAATCCTCATTTTCTTCTCATGAACTCACTTGATGCTCTTAAAACAAATTCCATGAGGCAAGCACTGCGGAAGAGTGTCATTAAAGGAATCACCCAAAGTGTTAGGTGCTAATCCAGGTTCAGTGACCCTTTGATGAGCACCAGGTATGTAGAGGCCCTGTACTAAGAGATAGCTCATGACCACAAGGTGGCCGGTATTACTACCCCATGTTATGGGGGAGGGGAAGCGGGAACTCAGAGATGCCAGGTGATGTCAGGACATGCACTAAATTAGGGGCAGGAGGGGGGCTGGAATTAAAGTCTTTGAACCCTGACAGCGACTGAGTCCTTCCAAGCCGGCTTCACCCACTAAAGTCCCTCAATGTTCTGTAATAAGAGTAAAGCTGAGCCCGGAGAATGCCAGGATCGCTTTTAGGAAGTCTGATTGCAACAAGCACTTGCAACAGATACCCCAAATCATCATCGAAATGCTGGCCCCTTGTGCCTGCCGGTGAACCTCAGATGGCTCAGCTGCCATTCTTCATTGCCAAGGAAACCTGGAGCAAGCTGACACAGTGAGCCAGGCAGGGCAGTGGGTTGGAGGGAAAACGCCTGGGGTGCCACCGCAGCTCTGCTGCTCACTTGTGGGCCTTGGACAACCAACAGTCTCTCTGTGCTCAGTTTTTTCTTCTTTTTTTTTTTTTGCGGTACGCGGGCCTCTCACTGCTGTGGCCTCTCCCGTTGAGGAGCACAGGCTCCGGACACGCAGGCTCAGCGGCCATGGCTCACGGGCCCAGCCGCTCCGCGGCATGTGGGATCTTCCCTGACTGGGGCACGAACCCGTGTCCCCTGCAGCGGCAGGCGGACTCTCAACCACTGTGCCACCTGGGAAGCCCTCTCTGTGTTCAGTTTTGTTTGCTTGAAGAAACAGGAGCATATTAGTGCCTACCGTGTGTGATTGTCAGGAGGCCCCCTAAGCAGACAATTTGGTGTGTCCCAGCATTTGCGAGTGGAGGAGCCGGGATGGGTCGCAGCCCAGGCTGGTCTGATTGGGTGGCCTTGTGCCCATCCTACGTCAGGGCTTAGGCGTCTTGGCAGACCTCGTGTTGCAGCCTGGGTGTGTGTCTCGGGTCAGCCTTGGTGAGTGTGGGTCCAGGGCCTGGCACTTCCCGCTCATGAGCTGGGAAATCTCTAAGTGACTGGCTGGTGGTGACCGGAACAGTAGCTGCATTTATGGAGCACCTATTGCGCCCCTGGAGACACTGAATCCTCATCTCAGGTCATCTCATGCCCATTCTACAGATGAGGAAACTGAGGCATGGAGAGATGAAATAAATTTCCCCAGCCATTTGGCTCACACGTGGCAAAATTATCATCAGGACTTAGACCTGTGTGACTCCAAAACAATTTTTTTTCCAAGTAGACCAAGCTGTCTCATGAGTGGAACCAATAAGGGAATAGATGCAGGAATGAATGAATACAGTAGCTGGACAGACGGATGGGCAGATGGACAAATGACTGAATGTGTGAGTAGATGATTCCACTGTTAGGAATATTCCATTTCCCAGGTCTCCCTAGGATGGGCTCCTCACTTTTAGTTCTCCGCATCCGTGTGCCCCTTCTCTGACCACTCTGCCTAACTCTTCATCTCCATCACCCGCTGGCTTCCTTCACCGCCCTGGCCCAAGCGCCACTGCTTGTTTGTTCAGCTATTGACTGTCTCCCTCCTGGGCTATGAGATCCACGGGCCTACACCTGTCTGCCTCCCTAGGCTGAAGCCCAGCAACATGCAGAACCCGGCACAGCACGTGTTAGAGGCAGACTTCAAGTGAAGGGCCAGATGAATGAAGGAAGCAGACGAATGACCTGGTGATGGGAGGGATGGATTGAGGAAGGAAGGAAGGAAGGAAAGAAGAAGGGAGGGAGGGAGGAAATAAAAGGAAGGAAGGAAGGAAAGGAGGAAGGCGGACAGGCCTAGAGGAAGAGACCAGCAAAACCACGTGTCTCTGCTTCTCAAAGTGCCTGGAAGACTGGGTAGCACATAGTAGGTCTTCAGAGTCCATTCGTGGAAAGAGGAAGCTCAGGAGTACAGGAAAGACGGGGCTGAGCTGTGTCTAGCTGACAGCAGGAAAGTGTGGGGGGGGTG